CCCACCACCACCATTGCCTGGTCCTCCCCCCACTCAAGAACCCTCAAGATCACTTAATGATTGCAACCAGCAGTGTGGGATTATGGTTGTAGATCCAAGGGATCATGTGACTCCTCACCTAACCGCTGCTTCACTGAACAACTGAAATTCCAGTCCCGACTGTGGTCATAAGTGGAGGATATCTCTCCTACAGATGTAGGGCCTCCATCACTGTCTCGGGTGTACTGGGGACCCTACCCTGGGCAGAGGGTGGGACTGGAAGACCTTCAAGGTCCCTTCCAAGGCTGAGATTTTGTGATTCTGTACCATTCTCAGAAGAAAATATTATTCTCGATTTCTTTTTTATTCTAACAGCAGATAAAAGATTGTAAACAAAGATTTATCTGCAATTCAACACATAATAGAAAATCAACACAAGGCAGCAGTCACCAGAAAGCATGGAGCCTGGGAAACTCTTGGATCCCCCGTCAGACACAATCAGCACTCCGGAAAACCACAAAAAACCCCATGAATGCTCAGAGTGCGGGAAATCCTTTTCTCGCAGATCAGTGCTTTTTACTCACAAGAAGATCCATATGGGAAGTGGATCCAGTCAAGGTTTGGAGGGTGAGAAATCCTCTGGAACAGACACCAAAGGTCTCAGAAACCCCCCCAGACTAAAACCCTATAGATGTATAAAATGTGACTTATGCTTTGGTCAAAAGTCAAGTCTTCTTACACATCAGAAAATCCACACAGGAGAGAAACCCTATCAGTGTCTTGAATGTGGGAATTTTTTTTGTCAGAAATCCACCCTCAGAAACCACGAGAGGCTTCACACAGGGGAGAAGCCTTACAAATGTTGGGAATGTGGAAAGAGCTTTTCTCAGAACTCAAGTCTTTGGCTCCATGAGAAGGTTCATGCAGGAATAAAATCGTACAAATGCTTTGAGTGTGGGAAATGTTTCACCCAGAGTTCAGGTCTTCGGACTCATGAGAAAACACACAGAGGGGAGAAAAAGGAAAAGTGCCTGGAATGTGGGAAATGTTTTTCCCAGAAATCACACCTGATGCGACATCAGAGACTTCACACCGGAGACAGACCTTATGAATGCCCAGAATGTGAGAAACGATTTATGTTTTCTTATGAACTTCGGAGACATGAGGAGAGGCATAAAGGAGAGTTACGCTATAAGTGTGGGGAGTGTGGGAAAAGTTTTAGTTTGCTAGGAGAGCTTCAGATTCATCAGAGAATCCACACAGGGGAAAAACCATACAAATGTGGGGAGTGTGGGAAATGTTTTTCACAAAAACAACACCTTGGAACGCATCAGAGGCTCCACACAGGAGAGAAGCCATACAGATGCGTAGAATGTGGAAAATGTTTTACTCAAAAGGGAGACCTTTGGGGCCATCATAAAACCCACACAAGGGAGAAGCCACATCAATGCAATGAATGTGGACGATTCTATCGTACCTCATCCGCATTTAGAAGTCATGTGAAAATTCACACAGGGGGAAAAAATTACAAATGTTTAAACTGTGGGAGAACATTTGCTCATGCGTCTTCCCTCAGAGGCCACAACCGAATCCATACAGGAGAAAAGCCCTATAAATGCTCGGAGTGCGATAAATGTTTTTCTCGGAAAGATACTCTTGTGAAACATCAGCGAACCCACACTGGAGAGAAACCATACAAATGTCTGCAGTGTGGGAAATGTTTTGCCCATCCTTGGTCACTTCGCATACACACCAGAAATCACACAGGATAGTGGTCTTATAAGTGTGTAGAGTGTGAGAAACCTTTTCATTGTAAATCAGAGTTAAAAATGCATCGAAATGTCCATAGCAGAGATAAACCTCTTCCGCTGTGAACGTTGAAAACATTTTTTTTTCAAAAGTCACATTTTAACGTTAACCAGGAACATCACACAGTGACAGAAAGGAAATCCTACTATTGTTTGGTGTGGGGAAAATGTTTTTCCTACTCAAGTAGCCTTAAATACCATAATCAAGGAAAACTACATAAATGTTGGGAGTGTTAAAAAGTTTGGCACACAAAGCAGCAGCGCTAGTACGTTAACAGAGTGATTACACAAGAGAAAAGAGCTATACGTGATGGGCAGAGTAGATAATGTTTTGC